GAGGCAGTTCGGCCAGGCAGCTAATTTGCAAGGGGGTGTGCAGGATTCAAACCTCGCGGGCAGAGCTCCTGCTGGCAACTCACCTGGAGATTCCTGGGTGGACTGAAGTCGAAATAGGTGGTTAGTGCATTATGGGATACGTCCAGTTCCAACAGGCAAGGCATGTGACTGACGCAGGAGAGATCTAAAAAAGAAGGAAGATTGAGACAAGGGATATAAAAGGAGAGAGGTGGCGCTCCTGCCCGTCGAATTTGAATTCTAGCATTCAATCTGAAGGGCCTTGAATGCTGCCTGTATGTTGCTCAGCTATTCTGTACAGGCAGTCCTTGTCTTACGACCGCGACGGAGCCCCAACTTTGAGCCCACAACGGAGGCCAAAAGCGAGACATTTGCTAAGGGGGTTTTGCTCCATCCATGTTACGACCTTCCTCGCCATGACTCTTAAGTGAATCACTGCTCTTTTAAAAGTTAGTAACAACAACAACAATAATAAAGTTGGAAGGGACCTTGGAGGTCATCTAGTCCAACCCCCTGCTCAGGCAGGAAACCCTGTACCAGGGGTTGGCAACTTTGGCTCTTTTATGACTCGTGGACTTCAGCTCCCAGAATTCCTGAGCCAGCATGGCTAAGCATGGAAACCTCTCCCTTTCCCCTCAGCATGGCTGGCTCAGGAATTCTGGGAGTTGAAGTCCACCAGTCATAAAGCAGCCTAGGCCTAGGGCAGGGTTAGGCAACCTTGGCTCTTTTATGACTCGTGGACTTCAGCTCCCAGAATTCCTGAGCCAGCATGCCTCAGCTTGGAAACCTCTCCCTTTCCCATCAGCATGACTGGCTCAGGAATTCTGGGAGTTGAAGTCCACCAGTCATAAAAGAGCCCAGGTTGCCTACCCCTGGTCTAGGAGGCTCACCGCTTAGAACAGGAGGACTTAGGACAGGCAACCTTGGCTCTTTTATGACTGGTGGACTTCAACTCCCAGAATTCCTGAGCCAGCCATGCTGAGGGGAAAGGGAGAGGTTTCCATGCTTAGCCAGGCTGGCTCAGGAATTCTGGGAGTTGAAGTCCACCAGTCATAAAAGAGCCAAGGTTGCCTACCCCTGGCCTAAGTCCTCCTGTTCTAAGCGGTGAGCCTCCTAGACCAGGGGTAGGCGACCTTGGCTCTTTTATGACTGGTGGACTTCAACTCCCAGAATTCCTGAGCCAGCCTGGCTCAGCTTGGAAACTTCTCCCTTTCCCCTCAGCATGGCTGGCTCAGGAATTCTGGGAGTTGAAGTCCACGAGTCATAAAAGAGCCAAGGTTGCCTACCCCTGCCCTATACCATGGTTGTTAAATGAATCCAGCTTCCCCTCACTGGCTTGGCTGGTCAGAAGGTCGCACAAGGGGAACAGCCTGACCCCCAGGATACTGCGTAGCCGTCATAAATACGAACCAATTGCCAAGCGTCCGGATTTGGATCACGTGACCTGAGCCTGTGGGATTGCTGCAGGGGTCGTAAGTGTGAGAAACGGTCACAAGTCCCTTTTTCCCCCCGTGCCGTCGTAACTTCGAACGGGTCACTGAATGAACTGCTGTAAGGCTGAGGACTACCTGCAGAAGGGTTGACCGCCTCCTAAGAAGGTTTCCCGCCGTGGAGCCCACGTACCGCGGATTTTATTGTTGGAAAGATCGAGCTTCTCAAGGTGGACGTATTTGTCAAGAATTCTGATGTCGGTCAAAAGGTGATACTGCGGGGATGAAAAAGGGAGAGTGGAGTCAGAAAGTCCTGTTAGTAGACCTGGCTTAAAAACAGTTAACTGTGAGATGGACCTCGGAGTCCGAGTGGACGGTCACTTGACCCTGAGCCAGCCGTGTGCAGCAGCCGCCAAAAAAGCTAATACGATCCTGGGCTGTATAAACAGAGGCATAGAATGAAGAGTTGGAGGAGGACTGTGGCGTCCTTGGAATCTCAAAGTAATTAAACATGGCTGGCTGGGGAATTCTGGGACTTGAAGTCCAGACTTCTTAAAGTGGCCAAGGTTGAGAAACGAGTCAAGTTCTACGTTGAGTTATACTCAAACTTCTCCAGAAGGCATCAAGTCCAAGCAGAGTTGGACCACGAAGTCCTAAAACTTGGATTCTTGCTCTCTGACCTGAAAGTGAACGCTCTAGCCCTGTTCATGCTGGCTGGGGAATTCTGGGAGTTGAAGTCCAGGTTCTCCAAGATAAGGGTGTGCAAGAGATTGGAGCTGAGGCACTTGTGGACTTAAATAGCCAACGTACGATGAAGAACTCTATCCAAAGAGCATTGCGAGATATCCTTCTTTTAACAGGACTGGGAGAGGCGGGAATGCTGGGGACAAGGTCTTCCTAAACTCACCGAAAGCGACAGATGAAGGTAGACACACTCCGTGCCAGAGGCGGAACGCCCCAAGGTGTGGAGGGCTGCGGCAACTGCATTTTCACTCAACACGCCGTCAAACACCTCCTGCGCGCATGCAAGAGAGAAAGGGAAACAGAGGAAGACCCGGCTGGGCAGAACTGGAATAATTCAAATGCAAGATTGATCGCTTGCAGCTTGGTGAGGCATACCCGGTAGGCAGCAGTCTTTTCTCTTGTGTATTATTAATAATAATAATTATTATTATTATTCATCACACAGTCAGCCAGATGTTCAGGCTGGGTTTGGCATTTTTGCCTACCTATCGAGTCCTTAGCAAGGACCTGGGATAGGCAGATGTGGCGGTTTGAATCGAAGGTGTCACAGATCTCGTCGCAGGGTATCAGCTGTTCTCAGTAAAGCCGCCTTTTGCAATTGACCGATGGCGAATTTGTCAATGCCGAAGGTGTCCAGCTGTTTTGGGATTGCACCCGAGATGCCTTTTGCTATTATTATTACTATTATTACTTAAAATTTATATGCTGCCCATCTCACAGTCATGCGACTCTGTGCACGTTCCCCATAGACCCAAAGTGACATGATGTGGGATTGCAGCCAAGGCATCATCATCATCATCATCATCATCATCATCATCATCATCATCATCAAGGATCAGCTAATGGTGGAAAATTAAAAGTTTTACACTTTGCTAGAGCGCAGGTTGGTTTAAGGCTGTGTGGTAAGGATCAGAGCAAGGAAGAAATCTGTACTTTTTCTAGCCTAGGGCTATTGCAATTTGACAGGAAAGACTTTTATTATTATTTTATTATGGTTTTGAACTAGCTCCTCCCGTATATCTCCTAAGAGCCCCCTCCCCAGTTCCCGTAATGCCCAGTATAGGGGCTCCTTCTCAACCAGCCCTCCCATAAACTTCCTAATAGGAGCCCCTTCCCCAATTCCCGTAATGCCCAGTATAGGGGCTCCTTCTCAACCAGCCCTCCCATAAACTTCCTAATAGGAGCCCCTTCCCCAATTCCCGTAATGCCCAGTATAGGGGCTCCTTTTCAACCAGCCCTCCCGTAAATCTCCTAATAGGAACCCCCTCCCCAATTCCCATAATGCCCAGTATAGGGGCTCCTTCTCAACCAGCCCTCCCGTAAACCTCCTAATAGGAGCCCCTTCCCCAATTCCCATAATGCCCAGTATAGGGGCTCCTTCTCAACCAGCCCTCCCGTAAACCTCCTAATAGGAGCCCC